CAGCTGGCAGGAGATGGGGCCAGGTGGGACAGCAACTGGGGGACTGGGGTGGTGCGTGTGGGCCTTGTGGGGGGGGCTGCACACAAGTGCCATTGGGGGGGTGCAGCATCTGGAAGGGAATGGGGCCAGGTGAGGCAGCAATCAGGGGACTGGGGTGGGGCGTGCGGGCCTTGCAGGGGGGTAGTAGCCCCTTTGGGGGCTATTTGGCTCCTGTGTGGGGGCCATAGCCCCTGTTGGGGGTCTGTAGCCCCTGTGTGAGGGCCGTAACCCTTGTGTGAGGGCTGTAACCCTTGTGTGGAGGCCAGAGCCCCTGTTGGGGGTCTGTAGCCCCTGTTGGGGGACCATAGCCCTTCTGTGGAGGCTGAACCCCCTTTTGGGGTCCATAATCCCTGCTGGGGGGCTGTAGTCCCTGCTGGGGCCAAACCCTCTGTTGGGGGGCCATAAGTCCTGTGTGTGGGCCAGAGCACCTGTGGGAGGGCAGCAAAATATATATTCATGTATTCAGGGCCGTAACCCCACTTGGGGGGTGTCTCAGGGGAGAGCAGCTGGAAGAGCTCCAAATAACAAATGGCGATCCCGTAGGGTGGGGATCATGTACCAAACAAGAAAAAACAAAAATAATCAAAGATAAACACTTACCTGCAGCAGGGTCCACGGTGCAGCTGGAGCGAGGGAGGAAATCCGCGCGGGTCATAACCCGCGCCTTTATCCAGCTGAAACCGGCCAGTGACATCATCGGCAATCACCGGCTGGCGGAGATAAAAAAGATCACAAGGGAAGATGGTGGGAGGCGAGTCAGAGAGGACTCTCAAGCCGAGTGTCATGAGGGATACTCCTGGAGCTAGAGAGCCAGCAGGGGCTCTCTGTGCCAGCAGAGACTGGCGTGACAAGGAGGCAGAGGAGCCAGAGGAAGCTCTCTGCACCGGCAGAGGTGGGAGCATCAGAGGAACAGGAGAGCCAGAGGAGGCTCTGCACCAACAAAGGTTGGAGCATCAGGAGGATGAAAGAGCCAGAGGAGGCTCTCCCTCCTGGCAGCAACAGCCATGAGCAGCAAAAGAGGCTGCAGAGCAGAGATCCTATGGGTGAAATGATGCCCTGTTATCCTAGCAATAGGGCTGGGGGGAGGAAACCGGATGGGTCCTTCCCAGCTTTTAGGGTTTTTTGGCTCCTTTTTTGTTTTCCCCCTTTTGGAAGGGCTGAGAGATAGGGTGAGGCAGTGCAGGCAAGACAGCTCTGCACCTCCTTTCTTTTCCATTTCTTTGATTGATGTTTACATTTAGAGTCCCAGGCCTTATACTGCTTTAGGGCAGGTGGAGGTCCTGCTGAAGCCAGATGGCTAAGTGATATGAGTTATCCCAGGAGGAAGTGCTTAAGGTGTAATAAGGCTATGAAGATCATTGAGCTCAAGAAACGCAACATCATTGGGGTGCGGCCAAGAAGATCTGGTGACCCGCCAAAAGGTTGGCACAAGGTTGGGGTGTTGAGGAGGTAGAGTCCCATGGACGGAGTCTGGCAGAATCCCCACCGAAGAGGACCACGTACATGCCCATGGTGACAGCTCCACGGAGGAGCCACCAGCTGAGGTTCCCAGTGGCTTGTGGGATGAGGGTGGAGTACAGACTCAGCCACTGGGGTGCCCTAGCCATGTCCTTGCCGAGCAGGTCCTGCCACTTGGTGTCTGGGTGGGACGCGAGGGCGGCACGATGAACAGTGAGGCACACGAGCATGTAGAGGTGACGGCGATGGACAGTGGAAAAGTGGACCAGTCTGGAGTCCTCCAGCCAGCTTAGGTGGTGAAGCAGGGAGCGCTGTAAAGCTGGGTGAGGCACCGGCCCCACAACAAATTCCAGCGGGCTGGAGGACATGGGGTGGGGGGGCAGGAACCGCTGCTGTGCAGGACCTGGTCAAAGGCAAGGGCATTGGGAGGTAAGGAATATTTCACCTCCTGGACCAGTGTCGTGGGTAGTCCCATGCACCGGGCCAGTGCAGAGGGGTCCACCCACTCCTGCCTATCATAGTCCTGGAGATCTCCAATACAGGTGAC